TTTCCTGCCACAAGACTTCCTTAATCCAAACGCTACTAGCCTCCCAGACAAATCACAAGATCAAGGCAGACCTACTACAAAGAAATTCAAAACGGATGCCCAGGGTCCTGTTCCGACAAGATATGACGCTACCTCCCTTGTTCCTCACTACACCGTGGCTCACGAGGTTCCAGAACACCTTCAGAAGTGTCCGTCGTGCCATCACTTAATATTTCAAGGGCCTTTAATTCAATTACAGCTGTCTCTCAGATTTTTCGCAACGAAAGCGTTTATTTTCTTTATATGATCAAGGATGTCTAGTAGATGAAGAAGGCTGGTATAGCGTGACACCCGAAGACATTGCTATCCAAATTGCAGATCGTTGTCGATGCGATACAATCCTCGATCCTTTCTGTGGTGTCGGAGGAAATGCGATTGCTTTTGCAAAAACCTGCGAGCATGGTGAGAGGCCTACCCTACCGCTCACCACAATCTTGTTAATTTCATTCTCGTAAATCAGTCATCGCTCTAGACATCTCCCCAACACGGCTCGCTTTGGCTCGTCATAATGCTACTATTTACGGTGTTGCAGACCGCATTGAGTTTATCCTTGCAGACTATATCTCATTTGCGAACGCATATCTTTCACGACCCCACCCAACGCGCAGAATTGACGTCGTCTTCTTGAGTCCTCCTTGGGGTGGCCCAGGATACATATCTCCCGCCCAAAGCCACGTCTCTGTCGATGGCAATTCGGACTTCCAGGATGAGCTAGAGATACAGTCACATTATAGCCTTTCCAGGATAAAGCCAATACACGGAGCTGATCTATTTCGCCTGACGAAGCGCATCTCAGGTAATATTGCATACTTCCTTCCCAGAAACACAAACTTGAATGAAATATCCGCTCTGGGCCTGCTCGAAAAAGACGAAGATGTCACCCCTGATGACAAGTCTCGAATGATTGAGGTGGAAGAAGAGTGGATGGGGTCGAAGCTGAAAGCTCTGACTTGTTATTTTGGTGGTCTAGTTGGTGGTCAAGAACATGTATTCTGATCTCACACTGCCAGAACTGGTGTATCCGGAGTATTTCTAGCTGCGTATTGTCGAGTAGGTTGTGCGAAGTAAAGTGAACTCCATTACACTTCGAGGTCTCAATTCGTGGTAGCCCACACACTCAGGCTGCAGTGAGTAATTTGTGTTTAAGTACCCCTAATACTCACTAATAAGTTAGACTGAAATCTTATGCAAGCTCATCACTCGAATGCACAGGATTCACTATCACTTTTGAGGGAAGAAGTGAGGGCAATGTGAAATGACATGAGTAATGTACAAGTATCGAAGTTTGGCATACGTAAATAGCGTTAAAACATCTAGTTCATAGACCACTATGGTGACTATGCCAGCCATTAAGAGGATAGGTTGGGATATAGCGAGAGTATCCGAACGAATATACCTGATTTATCTGTTGCGATATCGGCGTTTTCCAAGTAAGTTCATACAAGATCATTCGAGGTCATAGAAGCTGAGAGTCATAATTCTAACATTGACTTACCGGCAACTTAGGATACTTAGACAGAACTCTTTACATTGGCATAGCAGTACCTAGGTAGAACAAACGCTAATAACTCGTCAGTCTCAGGCTATTGTAATGTCTGCCTGAGGTATCTAGTACTCACATCTCAGCCTCTAGACAGAACTGAGATGCGGTGATAATCTACTGGTAGCTATATAGTAAATGGAGGAGGAACAGATAAATAGAAACAAGATATTGACAGGTACAAGCCAATGTCAAAAAATGCTCATCCGTTTTTATTGCGCTCGCCCTTTACATCTCGGATCCTTCGGTCAACAAGATGACAGCTCGTTCGGATCGCTCAGAGCTCAACACATGGATGACGAAATGAGGTGGCCAATGGATAATCAACAATATCAAGTACGCATGCCATGACGGATGGCGTTTTCAACAGGAACATGGACATCTCTCCTGCACGGAGCACATCAGCTCAAAATCACTGAGACAGGTAGAGAGCACAGGAACTAAACAAAACAATACCCTTAAGAGGTGCATGAGAGTGGAAAAGCCGCTGCGTGCGTCATCAACGGTACATTTGCATCTGACATCAGCGGGTTGGATTGTGCTACGTAGTACTCCGTAACGAATTACGTTTCCCTGATACAACAAATATTCTGAGTCGGGGAATATGACAAGCAAGGTTTCAGCTGACGCAGGCAGCATTTCACGAGTAAGTGAAAACAATCTCAAATAGAGTAATAACTATAGATTTCACAAAGGCTGCTTGGGAATTAGCTTGATAATTCTGTCTCACTTAACAATATTTATATCCTTCCCAAAATAGCGGGCGGTCACGAAGGACCACTGCAGCGGACCGGTAATCCAGTTCTGCAGTCCTTGGGTGTAGATAGACACTTCCTTGTCGACTCCCCACGAGAGGAGGACAGGAAGGTTTTCTTCGAAGCGCTGGAGGGAGATATTACATAGCCGGCCACGGTAGTCAGTCAATAGCACCTTGCAGGTCGAGACATTTATTCAGCATGAGCACAGAAACTAAGTTATGTGTGTCCTGGTGAGACTGCTCTTTATTATAGGAGAAAATAAAGTATCCTGTTAGCAACGATGTCAGTAGTTCCCTAACTTCGACGACGGAATAAGGCATTACATTTGACCAAGAAACAAAATCACTGGTAGCCCCCTGAAGGGCCATGATGACCGGATGCAAGACTCCTTCGTCGGGAAGATCAATCCGGTTGGCGAATTCGATAAGAGCAAAAGCAAGACTCAAGTCGCGCCTCAGTTCCATGTAAGATTCAACAATATCGGGATGTCCCTTGGCGAGGTTGTCCATCTCCTTTGCCGCAGAGATGAACTACAAGTTCATCGTATGAATAAAGGCTTCGCTTTGTGCAGCCAGGGTCGCCAGTCTCCTTGAAGCGACCCGATATCCCGCAATCAGTTACACGACACTTCGTACCCACTATGAATGATATGCTCGAATAATACAGGTTGCGCTCTGTGCGTTACAGTCGCATCAACGTTCAAAAATACGAATCATATTACTCATCAAAAACATTCCTTGTAGATCAAACCTGCTTTAGTCGCAAGCTGGGTGACTCGGAATGGCAGGAACAAAGCATTCTGGAAATAAGACATCACAATTGGAGTAGATCTAATCGGAATGTGACTTACCTAATTATGCCCATATTGATGATTTAGTACATCCGAGTCGATCCATGTTTGCACAAGTTCGCGCATTGAATCACGTGATAATGACGCGTCATATATTTGCAACCACAAATGAGCACTTCAGTGGCCCGCGATCAAAAACGCGGTGGTCTATTCATGTCAAAACAAATACTAGAGCAGCATACAAATCATGGATGGAATATCGAGAACGAGCAAGAGTAGTAATAAGAAAGCTCAAAAGATGCAGTGATTGAGGGACAGAGATACGGTGTAAAATTGGATGGCTATGAGTGATATTGGTAACAAATGCAGCAGGAAATTAATCTGGAACAGTAAATAGGTAACTTGGATATTGATGCACGAGAGCAAGTGCGCGACCAGGCGCAGTGTCCAAACAAGCGGCGCTTATCGAAGCGCATTCAGTTTTATTTCATCTCTTCATCGATAGCGCTGCCAAAATAACACTTATGGGCAGGGCTGGAGGAGACACCAGGCGACATATTAGACGAGAACTGCACCACAGAATCAGGACTGGACACAAAATAATTCATGAGGGGTTGGCGAGGAACAGGTATGATGAGCGCAGGAGGCGCGAGAGTACGCGTGTATTTTGCAGATGGAGATGGCGGTGGGAGTGCAGGCAGGGGGGCAGTGGGAGGCGGAGCGAGTGGGACGGTTCGCTTGACTGCACGACGCAGACTGTACAGGGTTTTAGAAGACGATCAATCATAGGCATTAGAACCACTCACCGTAGCGGAGCGCCTGCGTTCAGACTGCCACCCCTTAGTCTTCCAAAGAGACTATTGGTTTCTGAAGCGTTCTCTACGATGCTGCCTGTACGACTCCGAGTGGGCGACATGACGCCAGTGCGCTGAAGCGCGCTGCCCGCATTTCGCGCCGGAGACTTGATAAGAGCCATCGGGTTGACACCAATATTCATACTACTGCGACGCCTACGCATGCGAGGACGGTCAGCATTAGCAGGGGGTACAACAACGACGTTGTTTGAGTTGCTAGTAGGTGTGGGTGTCACGCTCAGATCACGATCGACAGGGTGCATAGGACTAGACGGGATCGGCATCTGCGAAGGGGGTGGTGCAGGAGTTGTTGCACTGTGATGGTAAGGCGCGAGAAGGCCAGAAGAAAAGAAAGAAGAATAGGTGACCATCGTTAAAATCGAGAAGGCCTTTCTGAAGCTGCTAGGTAAATATTGAGGATGTGGTAAAAGAACAAGTTGAACCAAACCAAATTTGAACTCTCGAAAAGGATACAAGGGACGCCAGTTTTCATTTTGCCAAGGCACTGCCACATTGTCTGTCGCCTTGCCAGCGAAAACAGAATTTTATATTTATGTACACAAAAGAAACTAGTAGGGTGGTGTTCTGTGTACGAGCTATCCTCTATAGAACTTCTGAGTTCTGGGGTGTAGTCGATCAAGTCTGTTGTGGGATGTTGGTACAGAGCCAGTATGTTGCGGCCTCACCGTCATCCTTACCGGGCCTTACACCACTCAATCTACCCTTCGTCATCTCCGTACCTGCATGATTTCTAAGGTGGATACTTCGCGCAGATGAACGTACTCAGCCTGTTGACGGAGGGCAGTCACACAAGCATATACTAGTATGTTCTTGCTTTCTCGTAGTTCCCACATGGGTAATTTTGGTAGGTAGTGGGCACGAATGATGATGCATGATGGTATTCTCCAAAGAAGCCGTGGCATTGACTTTCCGTTGGGCTCATGATAAAATGGTTTTAGCTTAATAACAGAAAGGGTTATCCCTCCCTATTCAAACTTTTTGCCGCCAGGTACCAACAAGGCCGACTAGCTCAGTTGGTTAGAGCGTCGTGCTAATACGGTTTGTCGGTGAGCGCGTGACCGGTAATTCCACGCTCTTACCGAGGGACTTGATACGCGAAGGTCTTGGGTTCGATCCCCACGTTGGCCATTCTTTTTTGTACCGTCAGTTCTTGGTTCTATGCGTCCATGGCAATTTTTTTGGAGGCTATCGAACCACAGGGACGACCCTGAATCTCGCGTCACAGAAATGCGTGATTAGTTGAATGTCCATTCTCAACAGGAGTGACAGGCTGTGGGCGTCCAGGCTTCACAATTCTTTGATGTATCAATAATAAATATCTACCTGCCTATCCACATACCAATATTTTACACAGCAGTAATCAGTAATGATTTGCATTTAGCTCTATGTTTCTCCATAAATACTATAGCTTACCACTAGCTAGTACAGCATCCTTATCAATCACGATCGAAGTTCACGAGTTGTTGAAGCAAGTGTGACTGGCCGTTACTATTAGTGACATGAGTGTGACTCACAAAATAGTGGACCGTCACGAAACGAGCTTAATGGATCTGTATGAAAAGTAGCTGGAATGCCGTGAGGTGTTGAGAATAGAGGGAGCCGAACTAGCTCGGAACCATCAATCATGGAACGTCATCAACGTGACGTAACTGGCGAGAATTTTACAGCCTGTGACATTTATACGACAAAACCACTGTGAACAGCAACACTAACCTGGCCGATGACGTTCTGCGGCTACAAGACATCCTTAAAGCTGCACAAGATGTCATCCTCGTAGCAGGACAAGCTGTGAATTATATTTACTTTGCTTGTGAAAAAACTCAATCCCTCACTCACGAGTCACCATACAGTTGCCAGTTAGTAATGGAGCCGCATCTACTTTCTCCAAGTTACTACGGACCTTGATACTAGGAACCACTACCAAAAAGAAAACAACGGTCAAATGGCGAGACATGTTATCAACCATTTTTAGTGCCAAGTGCAAACGAGTGAAGGAAAATGACAATGAAAGTGAATTATCTGACGTAGACGACGATTTGGCAGGTGAACTTGAAGCACCTGGTAAGGGTGACCGTGATAACGGCTCAGACTTGGATGTCCCTGCTGACCCTGACGACATTGTAGAATACGGTTCAAATAAAGACTGGGATATGGAATAGATACCACTTGACTTAGTATTGGTGAATGAACGCGAAAACACGCCATGAGTTGGCACCGGATCCGCCGAGCTGGTTTTGCCGTCGGTGGATACCTTACTCACCAGTGGATAATTAACCCAATTTCTCCAGGGCGGATAGTGGGTAACTTCTTGAAAGGTTATCCACGGTACACCAGTTCTGCCATATTCATAATGCGCTACCATCTCTAGGTAAGTCAATCAAGGGTCGCAAATTCCACCTCCCAGGATCAAAAGCAAGCTGTTTCTTCCCACATAATTGAGTCCGCGACGACTCGCATCGCAACTACCTCATCATTGCTTTTTCGAAGGGAATGTTTCATACGTGACTAAGGTGCCCAACATTGTTATCGCGTTCGCAAGCACATAAGTATATAATGAGCTATTACTGGATACCATACCACTTACCAGCCAGCCATGTTCCTAGCTGCATCATTGTTGACACAGGCTCTCCTGACTTTGTCAATCACGGGATCGCCCGTTGAAATCCGTACTTCCCCCATCACCATCCCCCTTACCAGGAGGCTAAACTTCTCCAATGGTACTATTAACCTCTTGCAGCACGATAAAGCTCGTGTGGCAGCCTTGAGGAACTACAACACACATGGCCGACGTGCTGACATCGCTCCTGTGTCATGCTTTTATTATGGTTACACCATAGCAGTTGGCATTGGCAACCCCCCCACAACTTGTCAGTTCAACACTGAGAAAACATGCGTCTGCTAATTTATTAATGAAGACAACTTGGTTCTCGATACCGGCAGCTCGGTTACATGGCTTAAAGATGAGGTATTCGTGCCAACCCGTACCAGTGTCGAAACTGGTCAGCGTGTAAAGGAACAATACGGTCATGCGCGTGATGATGATGATGGTGATGGTGATAGTGATGGTGATGGTGATGGTTATAGTTATAGTGATGGCGATGGTGATAGTGATGATGATGGCAAGTACTTCCAAGGTATGACATACAACAATATCATAAGTTGAAAACTTAAATACCTGCGATTATCTACAGGAGTTATCTGGAAAGATACCGTTACTATCGGTGGGCTCACCGTCACCGAGTTCCCACTCGGTATTGCTGAGGAAGTGAAGGGCTTCCACCCAGGTGACATCGGTATACTTGGAATCGGGCCTGAAATCTTGTCACTCGACACCCTGATAGAAGAGCCGGATAACACGATCCCGACTATCACTGACTACCTGTATAGCCAAGGCAAGATTGATAAGCACATTGTTGGTATCTTTTTCCAGCCCATCACTGAGGAACCAGACAGCCATCTCGGAGAGCTTACCTTTGGTGGAACTGATGATACCAAGCACATTGGTAATGTTATCTACACGTAAGCTACCTCAGCTCCTAGTCCAGACTGATAGTAATTGTTTTGTTTTTGTTTCAGTCCTATCACCACCGAACTCTTCGCCAGTGACTTTTGGGGTATCAATCAGAGGATCACCTACGGCTCTACAGAGATCTTGGGCACCACTTCTGGTATCGTCGATACTGGCACCGTCTTTCTTCACATTGCCTCCGGTGTGTATTTAGAGTGCAGCGTGTAATAATTGTCTAATCAACGTTTGATAGATGCCTTTGAGAAGTACAAGGCTGCCACCGGCGGTACTTACGATGAGGCCACTGATCTTCTCAGTATTACCACGGCCCAGTACATGGCCCTAGAGAAATTGAACTTTTATATTGAGGGCGTACGTCAATTCTATCAGCCCTCTCACCCCTTGTTCACCGTTTTGCACAGCAAATCTTCAGTCTTACCCGTAACGCCCAAATCTGGCCTCGTTCTCTCAACAGCAAGTTTAATGGTGATACCTATGGCATATATCTCATCGTTAAAGACATTGGCACGCCCTCTGGTCAAGGGATTGACTTTAATCTTGGTCACACATTTCTCCAGCGCTTCTACACTGTGTACGATCGCTCCAGTCCTCCGGGCCACGTCGGTTTTGCCACAACCTCGTTCACTGATGCCGACACCAACTAATGTGTAATTGCCAAAGTATATGAAGGATCTGTTTTCAAATGCAAAACAACATACGGATTTGTACTCTGCATATATACACTTTAATACCCCCTCTGCATATCTCAATCTATGCATTGCACCTTGACTCGGAATCCTTCCATCCATTACATTTACTTTCCGAATCACGGCCATGGCAAGGGAAATACTATTACTAGATCGACGACCAGCCTGAATATGATCATTCTTCTTGGTGAGCACACTATCAACTGTCCAACGTTAATTTGGGGCCCAGAGACTCGGACACTCGTCGATTCGCGTTGTTTTACTTTCACTTCACTTCTTCACGTTCGGTCCGTGTTCTCAATATTGGAGCAAGGATCTTATGATGTCATGCTTCAAAAGAAACTTTACAGCTGTTTCCATAATTATGCGGAAACGTGAAAGTTTAATTCACGGCTCGGAAACATCCGAAGTAGGAGCCTGTAAGTGTTTGGCTTACCGTTCATTCAATGAAACACTCCAGCACTGCCTCACTAAATCTGAAAGCTCGCATAGATATTCTGTTGCAAATATTTGTTATTAAGAAGACACTGGTATGCAAAAATATCTAGCTAAACCGGCATACCTGGTCACCACATAAATTTTTGCTTTGGTAGTCTTCCAAAATCGCTTGTTCCCGACGAACCTAAGATCACCCCGACCCTCACGAAGCACTGTGGCATGCCATAGGCTAAGTGCGCGCGCTAGACTTGAAGTCGAAGAACCTCCCAGTCATTTTTCTAATATCTGTTATCCGACCCGTGACAGAGTGCGAGCTGGCTAAAACTAAAGCAAATTGGGGTCAAAGCAATAAAACCAAGTCCAGTCGCTGCCAACAGTGACAATCACGGGCCGCCGGTGCCGGACAGCCAGTAGCTTTGGGGACATGCCGTTCGCTGCTCACAAATTATTCACCCCTTGAAGGCTTTTTTTGGCCTGTTCGGCTTGACAACGTATATAGGTACGCAGTGTGGGCCCACGATTACCTGTTGAACTTGAACTTTGTTTTCTGCACGTGTTTATGAAGAAAGACAATAAGATGTCTCCAGTTACAGCAATCTCAAGGTTCGATATTTTTGAATGATATTCCGCTACGCAACAACACAAGGTCGATTGGTCGATTGTCCGCGAATTGACGGGCCAGCCCTCCAAGTCTCAGATTGAAATTCATGCCATCCAGTTTGATTATTATTCACACGGATCAAAAAGGATTAATCCGCTCGCCTGGACACCCTCTGCAAGGAGTCGTGGAAAAGGGGTGCTCGTGGGTAACTGGATCCGCAGCCCTACCTCGAAATCATTTTCGCGCTTCTCGTCATATCCCGCATCCGAATCGGGGTCGTTATTTTCCTAATTGCCCAACATTCGAGTTGCAGCAGCCCGAGTCCCTTCGAAACTAGGTTCTGACACCGCCATCATCAGTTACATGGAGGCGCATTGTAACCAACTACTTACTCAACAGAGACACGGAGACGATAATGAGCCCCAAAAACAGAAAACCAGTAAGACCATTAAGCATACATCGATATTGGCAATGTCAAGTTAGCTTTGCCTGGAATATGGGCATCCATGGTTTGTCATCACGGAGATCTTTACAAACAGAAATACTAGTGACTACTCTCCACTGATCTTCCAGCAACCAATCATTCGTGCAAGCTTTCGAGAATAGCCCTGATAACGGAGCGAAAAGCCCGGCGCACGCAAGCTTAGACCAGCATACTGTGAGGATGATAGGAATGACTGCGCGACTAAGTACTATTCCCCAGCGCTACCCCATGAAAAGTAAGCGTGCTGAGTTAATTTGTCAAATGGGCCGCGTACTGAACATAGTACATCTGGGGCAACCCGGTTAGTCTCATGGAATAATATCCAGCAATGTTCCCAGTCGATGTTCGCTTAAGCTGCAACACAAGTCATGGGTGACTGGAAAAATCATT